ACGATGATGGCAGTGCGATTTAAAAGGTTGCTGCGCAGGGATCTTTTTCCCCGGACATTTTTCCGCCACACAAACCTCAACAAACTTGTCCCAAACCTTCAAAATCATCGGCCCCACTAGCCGCTTCGCCTTCTCTCATAACACTGTGTTTGCTGCTCGACTTCGCAGATTAAGTTCAGGGTTTTTGTTTGAACACAACAATCCCTACACGCCTGCAAGCGAACCCTATGGGGCCCTGTTTACAGACCCTAATAAATACAGGGCAAAGCCGCAATTCCCTGCTCAAACCCTGTTGCTAGCCCCCTCGAATATAGGGGCCGCAATAATACTGGTAGTTAGAATGCAGTTGTTTGGTATTTTTTCAATACAAGCACTAATAGGTTAATAATACCAGCAGTATATTATGTAGTTAATGTAGTTATTTAAGCATACACAAACACACATAGAGAGTTTGTCAGTAACCCAATGGAACAGCATGTGTAACTGTTCAGGTGTCGAAACCAAAGTCACACTGCCGCCTTGGGCACCACAAGCCCTGGCCTTTGCCGAAGAGCGCGGAGGCCATCCGCCATCCGTTGCACGGCGCCTGCAGCCTTGCTGGAACGGCTTATCTAGGGTTTGTAGGAGTTAGGTTCTTAGAAGGTGCACAGGCTATGAAGGCTTTATCATTTAGTTTCAAGCAGGTTTTGCGGTTTCTAAGGGTCTAGAGGCTCACAGGCTGAGGGCTTAGGGGCTTTAGGGTCTGGGGGGTTTAGGGTCTCGAAGCATGTACGAAGTCTTTGCAAATCAAGTCTTTGCTGTCGGCTCTCGCACTCGGACAATGCAGGCGAGGCTTGTGGTCTTTGCTTTGAGGTTCGGGGTGCACGGCTCGGAAGGGTTTAGGTACCCTAAGTGAACAGTGATTTGTTTTTTTTCAGAAGGCTTTCGGAACTTCTGTGCAAGCCCTTGCACAAACCCTGATGAAAGCCTTGCACAACTCTTGCGAAGTGCTTCTGGAACCCCATGTCCCTAGGCCCAAGCTTCATCCTTCCATCGCCGCAGCCCACCGAGCTCTTGCTCCCATCGCTCCATGGCCTCCGCCTCAGAGGCTCTTGAGACAGAGGCTGAACATAGGGGGGGGGGGTTCAAGGTTTTTGGGTGTATAGATCCGGAGGGTTCTTTTGGACGTTGGGTCAAGGATTTACATAGGGCTTGGGGAGTTGGGGCTCAATTCTTCGGGCGGTTCGGGCTGAAGACTCTGGGCGCCGCATGCACAAGACGGGAGCACGCCCTGACCCCAAAACCCTGAAGTTGCGCAATTGCCTGAAGGTCCCGAAAACCCTTAAAGTTTTCGCCCTAAACCCCTAAACCCTCACAGGGGTTTGAGAAGTCGATACCATGGCGGCGGGTTGGGGGGCGGAAAGAACCGAAATCCGGGCTCAAGGGCTTTAGGACGCTTAAGGGTTCAAGAGTCTACAGTAGGAGTTTAGGGTTTTCGAGTTTTAGGGCATTGGTGGTTTTAGCGTTTAGTGGATTTTTGAGGATTTAGGAGTTTAAAGGTTTATGGCTTTAAGGTTTTGGGCTTTAGCGTTTGAGGGTAGCCACACCTGGTGCAACTATGATTTACCGGAAGACCTTAGTTTAACGTCGATAGGTCTTTGGTAGTAGAGATGCTGCCTGACACTGCCTACGTCGAAATCAAGCAGACAAGGGCTCTTTCTGAGGAGCACGAGGAAGGCGGTATAATCAACCGACAAAGCAGAATCGAGATTGCTCCAGAACCAAGCATCCCGAACAATGCGCAGTGGATGTTGATACACCTTAAGCTAAGCTTGAGACTGAAAGCATCGAACGCAAACCGATTGCCCCCGCCCACCAGGACCCTCGCCCATGCATCGTTCGAAGGTCCTCGACATGCGTGCATGTTGAGTGGCAGGTGGGGTGCCTGCGACGTGTAAGATGTGTAAGTCGCGATTGAGGTCTCTGTGGCTCCCTGCAACAACCGGAACGACAGCAGGACTAGCCGTTAGTGACAGAGAGAGAGGGAGAGAGAGAGAGAGAGAGAGCCGAGCCAGGTACACACATGCTCAGTCAATCACGGACAGATGCACACTTCATAAAAGCACGGGCCAACAGCAAACACACAGGTGCGAGATGCCCCTTGCAAGCAAGCATGAGTGGAACACTATAAACATAGACAACACTGAACAAAACACAAGCATCATGTATCATGAGCAGAAAAGCAGTCAACTGCATAAGCCATGCACAGAGCTGACATGATATCTTGAGATCGGCATCTCCCAACAAGACTTAGCACCTACACTGGGATGAACGCCTAAATCCTACTGCTAAATCGTAGGTTATACTAAGCATGAAATATATGATATGATAATATTCTGTTACTTACTAGCCATGAAATATATAACCCAGTAACATACAGTAACCCATTGAATTATTTCAGTAACTGGAGTCGTGCGGTAGACGGCATCGGAAGCTCCTGGGATGCCAGGCTTCGATGCCCGCGGGCTGCCTTCGGCAAGGAATCGAAACATGGGGTTTAGGGGTTTATTAAGCTTTAAGTTTACTCGCCGGTCAGTCTTACTCGCCGCCAGCCTCTGGTTGTTGTTCGCCTCTTATGACCAAAGCAGTGGGCTTGGAATCGGTATCTTTGGGCTGCTGCACCACCGGACTCGCCAGTGGCACACCTTGATCCATTCATCTATCACGCTACGCCTCGTCTCGTGTGTCAGGCTCAACATGCCTGGTCAGCCTCCACAACCTCTCTCTCTATATATGTGTGTGTGTGTGTGTATACATATATTTCTATACATTTAAATTTATATTCGTCACACCTCGCGACTCCAAAAAAGTCCCCTCATGTCCAGTCCGGCACCGTTGTGCAATCTGAAGCGGCGCAAAATGGCGCAAAGCAAGCACAGACTCGACAACTATGCAAGACTCTGCAGTCCCCACAACCAGATACAATTTGCGGCTCAAACGCGCGAGGATGCGCTATAGCCGCTATATAGGTTTGAAACTCGCGGCCGCAGCGAGAAGGCACCGCAATCCACTTTTGAGGCTCGTGCGGTCGCGGGCAGTAGCCTTGCAGAGCGGCTTGGGCGGAAGCTTGGGCCCCCAAGAACGGCGAAGCTAGGCGAAGGAGTCCAGGCCGGGGTGGGAGCGCGAAGTCCCGGCAACAAACGAGAAGTTAAGCTACAAACACATGACGATGATGGCGATGATGACCCCGATGATGACGATGCTGCGGCATAATATGCTGGCGAAAGGAGTCGCCCACATCAACATCACCACCATGACGATCGGCATCAGGCATTGACAGAACACTGCCCAGGGCAGGCAGTGCCACCCTCTATGTCACTCTTAATCTAGACGGGATCGTCTGTATTGCGGCGATGAACGGTGCGGCAGGGGAGCATTGAAATCGATGGGCACGGGTCTTTGGAATCATGATGAATCGTATTCTGCTGGCGTGTGTAGAGGCTTCTGTGGCGGAGTTCTAGATTGTGGGTTTTTGGTGGTTCATGAGTCTTTGGTTTCAGGGCCATGGCGCTGCACGGCCATAGTGAAATACGAAATGTGACAGCTCCTGGAGGGAGGCTCTGCAGCATGTCTGAGCTGCAGGGTAAAGACCCTAAATACAAATTCCAAAAGCAAAACCCATGCATATGAGCAAACAAAAATCATACTCAATCCCGAAGCCCACACTATCCACACTCCAAAACCCACCAACCAACAAAGACTGCAAACTCTGAAACCGACTCAAAGACCTACGCCGCCTACGCCCTGACACCACGAGCAACCCGGTATAGAGAACAGCGCGTGAGCCGCAGACGATTGTCGTCGCCTTCCGTGCATACCTGAGGCCCCCGGGGTTTGAACGTGTGTGCTACACTCATGCACCTGCTGGGACTGCGTTGTTTCAACACCCACTCCTGAAGTCTGCGGTCTAATGTTTGTGTGAGTGTTGGATAGTGTTGGATTCTGTTAGCCGTCGGGCTCCATGAGATCTCAGGCTTCAGTTCCCAGCAAGCCTGGCGACTTGACTGCAGGACTAAAGGTCTACCCGAGATAGAGGGCCACAGGGACGGCGAAGGATGGCTGCACGTTGTGCCTGTCTTTCTTGCTGCGACCTTAAACGCAACCCCAAACCCACATGACTGCCTCACTTTCTGATGCGGCAGACAGGCAAAAGCCTAAAGGGGACATCAGATTCGCGTGGTGACCCCCGTGACGCAATGACTGGAAGGGGGGCTTGGCCTGTTCGTCAGGTCTACATTATCACCTTGGGGCCCTGGAAATCAGAACTTATACCGACGACTTGGCTTGGGGCGCCCCGAAACTCAGCTTCCCGCGAGGGACCCTCGTAGCCGGAAGCGGCGGCCTGCAACAGTGGTGTTTCAATATTATGACTTTATGTTTCTGTTGTACATGAAAGCCTTGTTGCTTATCATGTGTTTCTTGTTGCTGATGTTGATAATGACGCCATTGGCGTTGGTCGTGCTATTGCTGCTGTAGTTGCGGCACCACCTGCTTCCTGCTTCTGCTGCAGATGCGGTTGCTGCTGCTGGTTGTGGTGGTGGTCGTGGTGGCTATGGGTCTGGCGTTTTAGGGATGCAGGCCTGTGTTGATTACCTGCTTCTTAGAGGAGGGTTGCTTCAAAGACCCTTTCTGCATCGGGACAAAGAGCCTCAGCCATGAACCCTAAATGCGAGACACTATTGCAAATCTTGGCCTACGGTTAAAAGCCCAAAGCACGGTGCTCTCATACCCATGAGTTAGTACCTCTGACATGAAGAAGCTTGGCCGGCATTTCGCACTCGCCGATGACTGTACACGACGATCCCAGGGCAGCTCCTGTCAAGCCACCACCTTGCGGCAGCCCGCGACCAAAGGCGATACGGCAAAACCGATGCCCGGCACCAGAAGCTTCTTTGCTCTTCCACCAAGACGGCTCGACCACCACTGTACCGGTGTCAGCCACGAGATCCTGGCGTAGGATTTTATAACGGCCAGGATAGCTCGCGGGCCAGAAGCTCTGCACCTAGATCGCATTCACCCTCGAAGAACACATCCCGGTAGTTTTCAGCATTCCCCTGTGCTCCCTTCCACGGACCCACGGCTTCCCGATTGATAAGCAGTCGGGGGGTCAAGGCTGGGACTCGGTTCACGAGCCCTGCCACCGGATAGACGCTTAGGGCCGTGCCAACGACCATCAGCAGGTCACAGGTGGCCAAGTCTTCGCCAGAACAGCTGTGGAACTTTGGTGGAAGAGGCTCGCCGAAGAAGACAATGTCTGGTCGAACCAAGGCACCGCAATGACATCTTGGAGCTGCGTGGCCCTGCAGAACATGATCCGCTGCTGCCGAAGCAGTGAGCCCGTGGATTGCATGCTGCCGGTTCTCGGAGCAAACGACCCGACTCGTGGTGCCGTGGCACTCAATGATACGGTCCGCCGGGACCTGAACACACAAGTCTGCCGGGAATTGGACACTTCAAAGGGTGTCGATCGCATGTAGCCCTAGACTCTAGACCCTTTTCCCCAAACCCTAAGTCCAACTCGGCCTTGCCATCCGCCCTCAACGACACGAAGATTCGAATACGGTGGGGTGCTTTAGGGGCGGCTCTGAACTTGTGTGTAGAGCCCCGGAGCCCGAAACCTTTTGCAGGAATACTCCGTGCTTCTATTCTTGAATGACAAGAAGAATACGGTCTGGTGTCTGCTAAGCCGATGCTGGCTGACGATGAAGCACGGGCAAAAAGCAACATAATGAATGTACGACGACGATAACTAGAAATACTACAAGACAAGACAATGAGTACACGACCAGTGCCCCTAGAATCTAATGATTAATATCAACGCCTCACTCTCTTAGGGACAGTAGAAAAACATCGACCATTCCAAACCACGTTTAGGGAGGAGGGCTTCTCAGCTACTACTAGGAGAGCGACTCTATAGCAATCTTGACCACGTCGTTTCTACTTCTTCACACAAATCCGGATACGGAGGGAGCTCTGTCGGAAAACCATGCTACTCGCAGGCTCCTTGATAACGGTCGAGATGCAAAGTCTAGCTGCTAGCTGGGGGTCTACCTGCTAGCTGACAGTCTTCTGCCACGCACTGCTCAATTCCAAACTGCTAAAGCGAGCGACACCAGCGGCGTGCTCTAAGCCATCGATGTTCTGGGTGTACACGCGCAGGAGGAGGCCCCTCTGCCTTTGGTGCTCCAAGGCATCCGAGAGTGTGGGGCGATCAATGCGTTTAAGGGTTTAGGGTTTAGGCACGATCCATCGCCCAAGTCCAAGAAGGCACAATCCAATTCTGAAGGACCCAGGAACATGTTGTCTCTCCCTATGGGTCCAATGGTATGGTACGTACTTCTGCCTTCAAGGGGTTCCTCTGTACAGTAGGTTACTACTACGGAACATCTGTAAGGCCCAAGTCTGGGGTGTGGGTACGAAATGATTAAATTAAGGTCCAAGTAAATTCCAACACTCGTGTAGTTATAGGCGCGCGCGGGATTCAAGACGCACGCTGTCTCCCTCTAAGGGTCTACAAAGTCCGGATTTCCTCCTATTTCACACCTTGCTTGGGGGCCTTACACACTGCACACAGGTTCTGCTCCGACAAAGCCTTCCTATTGCTTTTTTATTAGAAACCTACCAAATTACCTATTACTGGGCTCATAAATAGGACCGAATATTTTAAGACGCGCATGGGTTCTTAGCACATTTTGCTCCGACAGCAGCTAGACTTACCAAACACACCCATGCCGGGCGTGGGGCCTACATATTTCAGCCTAACCGCCTGATCTTATGGTAAACACACGATTCCGGTAACAAATCGCCTTTAAGCACCAAAGCCTCTGTTTTTTGATTGAAGCCAAGGTGCGTTTTAAATCCTGCGCCCGGCTAGTTATTCAATCCATTGAGCAGGCTGGAGCTGCTGGGACGAAGTGAGAATTGCTGAAACCGACAATAAGCCTCCTTCCTCCTTCTTCAAGTATATTGGATTCCGTGGTGAATTGAAGTCCAAGTGTAAGGCCTCTGACAATATCTGTGTCTTGAAATTTAAAACAAGCTCCTTGTCAACTTGGTCGACTTGCTCGGCTGATTTCGTGTTGACCCAAACCCTCAACCAACAAGGGGCCCGAAGAGCTGGAAGGTTTGGGATTGAATCAAACCTTGACGGGCCTGGGATCAATCCTCACGGTGCTCCAGGTGTCAGTACAAGACTGTGTTTAGAGTCTCGGGTTGACGATTTAAGCAACATCGTGATTTGGAATCTCAGGCCCTAAACCCTGAACTCTCAACCCAGGGGTGTGAAGTTCGGGCTTTAATTGAGCAGGGCATCCTTGCCTCGTGCGAACACTTGTGGTAGCCGCTTCTTAGGCGGCTTAAGGGTTTAGAGGTTTTACCACAGGATTGACTCACAACTTCTGCAGAGCGGTAACTTGCTTCCGCCAAACTTTTTAAGAATAAGGACGTCTACGCATGTCAGTAGCTAAATAATCAAGACAAGTTTCTCCAGATGGGCCAGCAGAGCGTGCACCTGCATCTGCAGGGTCCCTTATTATAAGCCTATAGTATAGCAGACGGATAAACAAACAGCACCCCACTTCGCAGTTTGGCTGGCATTTCACTCGCGGGCTCGCTCAGAGACTCAAAGTCTCCGGTCATGCACAGAGGACTCGGAGTCTCAATGCTATGATGGTGGTCACTGTACGTGTGAGGCTATCACGAATCATGTTGTATATATATATATATAGAGAGAGAGAGATATATATATATATATATCATCCGCACACAAGCATGCAATCACAACCCAGGCGTCACTCTTCCACTGGGTGCTTATAGGGCCTTGGTAGGCTGGCGGCCGCTGAAAAGCTCCGCCGTCTTGCGCCAGAAGCGCTCGGGTTCTGTGAAGAAGCCCTGAGAAGGAAGCGGGGAAGTCTCCAGCTCTACTTGGAGGGTCCGGGGACTGAGTAGGTGGGTAACAAGTAGAGTTATATAAGTACCCTAACAGGGATCCTAACTGAGGTGATGATTATATGATACTTATAACTCTATTACAGAACTACTTACTAAGTCCCCTGGCCAGACTCGAAATACACCCTGAACCACACCCTCGGTGAAGCCTGAACCCCAGGCTCTGCCCTAGACCTCTGTCTCTGCTCCCACTGATTCATCGCCGTGACTCCCCTCTATGCGTCTAACATGGCAACTAACTAAAACAGATGGTATGCACCGCGAACGTCTCTCTTTCTCCTTCCCTGTGTGTCCGCTCTGCGTGGCAAACATGTGCTCCTCTGGCTTGGCTGATAATCTCTAGTCCAACTGAAAGAATGCAACCGAATACAAGCCTGAGGCAAGTGTGTTCTTGTTAGTCCTAATAGATAAACAACCGATAGCTATAGCGCCTTGTTGAAACGTAGACATACGCACGATGCTGCAGGTATCTGCCTTGAACGTGAGAGCCATCATGCTCACCGCGATCCCCACCTCCCCTTTTCATGCAAGTGAATCACGTTTCCGGCAAGACTTGTGGGGTGTTGAAGATTGGGACGCTTAATTACTAGGGAGTCACAGATATGTGCACAATTGCATACGTAACTTTCCGCACCCCCACATCTGTTCCCAAAGCCAGTCAACAACGATAATCCCGAAGCCCTGACTTTCGAATGTCTGTTGCAACTCATGCAGTACACTTACAGAGTTTGGAGCCCCTGCGCCACCTAACCCCAGCCATGCCCAGTTCCAGATGCCACATCCTGGGTCCTAGAACGCAAGCCTCCAAGAGTTCAAGCTTCTTGGATCCACAAACCTTGATCCCGAAAGGTTCTTGGGTGGTAAGATCTAGGGTATAGGGCCACGTTTCCGAAACAAGCTTGATACTTTCGGGATGCAATTTGTGCAGGATTCTCGGGCCTGGACACGTCTGTCTAGTCTTACCACCTCGTGGATCTGATTTGATGAACACCTTAACCTACCAAAACCCACTTTTTTGTAGGTTACTGTTATAAACCCTAATATGGGATTTATAGGAACCCTACAAAAAAAGTAGGTTCTGGTGGGTTAAGGTATATACAGGTTTGAGTCATCTACAGGTTGTGAACCCTGAGCCTCATGGGAGAAAAGCTCGCGCGTGGAGGCCTGCGGCCGGGTCAAGGTTTGTGGTGGGGAGGGGGGGGGGGGCCAATGTCCCAGACCAAAGAGAGGCTCTTGGATTGTACATGGGAGTTTCCGAAGTTAGGGGACCCTAATATAGTACCCTAAGTAGGATCTCTATTATAAGGGCCCCAAAAGAAGGTAACCCTAATTTTCGGAAACTCCCACATAAACATGTTTTCACAAGTGCCAAGTGCACTTGTTAACAACAGCGGGATGTACATATAGTCGTGTATGTCTGTCCAGTTGTTTCTCTGCAAGGAGTGTAGGGTTTAGGACTCACAGCTTCGATCTTATCGTTTTAGACTCCAGCCCTTTAGGCCTCAGGGTCAAAGATCAAGCAGAAGCACATTGCCGACGCAGGCAATGCTTTGGCTCTGTGTTTCAGGCGTTGGGAAGTGCTCTTAAATGGTCCCCCTAACATCCATATCATGCGACCTCCAAAAAGTCGCAAACCAGCGCTGTAGAGAACACTTGGCTTCCTTACTCAGGTGAGCCCGAAGCAGTGAGACTGAACCAGTGCGTGCCAAGAAGGCAATTGCAGCCCACGCCATGCTTGACGCCCTGCACAAACCCACAAAATCTCCGTACATTGCAACAGAACCTTACGAACCCTGGACTTCCTGCCTGGTTAAAAGACAAAGGCAGCAGCTCAATGGACCCTATAAGGACCCCCCCCCAAAATAAGGTACGCCCTGTTTTCAAAACCCCCCTTTACAAGCATCACTCAGGGTCCCGGGAATGCCGGCAGCCTGCGCCCAAAGACCCGAGGCAGAGCGGAAGTCAGGAATACCCGCCTTGTTCGTTGACACATTTCATTTCGGTGGAGTGGGCGGTGTTCTTTATGTGCTTTAGAAAGTTTTAGGTGGCTTTGTTTTACATTACAGGTTATCCGTGCGATGCAACCAATAATTCGCTTGTTTCGAAGCTCTAAACGCGAAGTTCTAAATTGTCCAAACAAGACTGACTCTGCTAGTACAGTAAAAATGCTTCGAAGACTCAAGAACTCAAGGATTCTGTGCATGCCAAGACTCTGCGGTAGATGCTCCAGCACCAAGGAGCACAATAATCTTCTTGCACCGGCTTTCGATCAGCTTCGCGATCCTAAGCAGCCGAAGGACTTCGGCTGTGGTACTGGTCGCATTCGTCTTAAAGCTCTGATGATAGCCGTGGAAAAAGCCATGCAGCTGCGACACAAGGCACCTAGATCCGTGCTTATATGCGAGCATCGTGACAAAGTTGTGAGCACATTGGCTTTTCAACTTCTGAGGAAAAATTCTCTCAGCTGTGGCATGCATCACAAACACCAAACACTTGCCGCGGGCCCCATCTCATTATGTACCATAAAAATCCGTTATCACTCTAGGCCGTATGCCCGACAATGTCTTTCAGTTTACCAAAAGCGCAGGTGCGTACTGGCAATACAAACACTTACTAATCATGCTAGTACTACTGGTACTGCAGATAGTTGTACCCGCAGGAGTACACTTTTGCTGGTACTTGAACCGGATTTACTACTACTAGTGCTAATTCTACTAACTATGGCTCCTGCCAGTATAATACTACTATCGACAAGAATATACTAGTACTAGTTGTACGATTGTAAACTCACTACTACTAGCATTGTTCTGCTAGTACTCCTTGTGTCACTTGCTCGTGTACCACTAGTGCTACCAGTACCGGTACTGGTGCTCCGTACTTCTGCTGTCGCTTTTACCACTATAACAAGTCTTCTTCTGCTATTCTGGCAAACGATGCCAAGCATCCCTGGCAGCGAGAAGTTCCCATTCAACACAGCAGCGCGCGCCTGAAAACGAGGCTGACGGCCGGGCCAGCGTTTTGCTTCGGATGAGCGCTTGGGGTTGCAGAGTTCAGGGTCTGGTGGTCTGGGTGGGATCTGCGGTGCAAACGGTTGCGGGCTTTGTAGACACGGAAGAATCGACAGCAAACACTTCTGCGGCTCTAGTGTGCCGACATCCCGAAAACTCCTCCACTTCAGTGCTTAGTTTGTACATGCGTACGCGACCCTGCTTACCACGGCCCTGAACCCTGCAGGGCTCTCTGTAAACCCCCAGCCGAAGCGTATCGGTCTTGAGCATTGGCAGCTTCTTTTCGTCGTGCAGGCTGGTGCTGAGGCCACCCTACACTGGCGGGAGCCTGGCAGACGCAATCGCACCCCTCGATTGCGTCGCGGGCACTCGGAATGACAAAACTGCCACATGCGTTTTGCATAGAAGCTCGCATCAAACCCATTTGTCCGGGTAAAAGCACCCAGCACTGCTAAATCTCCAGACTCGTAAGATCAACATGTCAAGCTTCTGAAACTTGTAACAAAACGCTCGTCCGAGAGATATAAATTGCTGTGCCGTTTCTTTCAATCCTCAGCAGCACTTGGTGTTTACAACCAAGGTGAGAAATCTACGCCTCAGCAGTGCAGGTAGATCACGCCCCAAGCAACGCTCGCTTCGCAGGGTGGAGCAAGCCACCCGACTCCTGCGGATTCGCGATCTGTAATGTAAAAGCCTCAATATTTAGAATAGGGTTTTGGGCCCAAGTTATACTACTATAAGGAAACCCCACAATAATATAGGTAACTATTTCGGCCCCTGCAGTATGCTTCACTCGGTCTCTTCTCGGCGGCTCCGGGTTTCAGGTCGGACTCTAAAGCCCAAGGCCCTCAACCCCAAACTTATTGCCCTAGCATCCCGACTTGAAGGTTCGTGGGCAGGAATATGGTTTAGGGTTTAGGGTTTAGGGTTTAGGGTTTAATATGTGGGTTTAGAAACTCCCCTAATAAGGGCTCTAACTATGGGTACCCTACTTACAACCCACTTAGAACTACCCATGAGCCTCCAGGTCAAGTAGACCCCTAGATCCTCAACCTAATGGCTACTAGGGTTTAGGAAAGCTTGTAAGGGTTAGGGTTTAGGGTTTAGGGTTTAGGGTTTAGAGCTTAGGGTTACCCTAAACCCGAAACCCTCTCTCTTTCTCACACGGACTCAGTCACCTGTCAGTAGCGGCAAGACTAAACCCCTAAAACCTTGTTGCACAGACTTCTCTAACCTGAAACCCTAGACCCTATACTATAGGGGCCTTAATAATTAGAATACGGTTTCGGGGTCCATTATGCCATTATACTCGAAGTTTAACAAGGAACCCCTGAAGTAGTATTGGTAAATACTTTGGCCCCTATATTACTTTTAGATTCTAAACCCCTAAACCCCAAACCCCTTATAGATCCCTTTAAAGGAACCCTGGTAATTATCTATAGGCCCCTATATTACTTTTAGGTTCTTAAGCCCCAAACCCTAAACCCCTTCTAGATCCCTTTAAAGGAACCCTGGCAATCATCTATAGAGGAACCCTGGTAATCATCTATAGGCCCCTGTATTACTTTTAGATCCTAAGCCCCTAAATGCCAAAAAACCCTTTAAAGGAACCCTGGTAAATGTCTATAGATCCCTTTAAAGGAACCCTGGTAATTATCTATGTGCCCCTTTCTAACCTTATAGATCCTAAAGCCCGAGAGCTGCAGTCATCCTCGAGAGCTTTGAGCATGGCCGTGTGGCTCTTGCCGCCTGGTTTGGGCAAAAAGCGTGTACGGTTGTTTCGGCTCTCACACTCGGACGCTCCAGGCGAGGCATATGGTTCTCTACGATCTTTTTCAGGGTTTAGGGTATGTTTCTGCCTCCCACCCAGCGGCTAGGGATGATAGGGCTCGATGCTTATCCTAAAACCGTCAAGCCACGACAGCTGAGACCCTGAACCCGAACTTTTCTGTTGAGTTTAGGCTTTCAGATGTATGGTTTGCACTTGCCCATGCCTTAGGCGCTTTTTGATGTTGAAACTTTACCGGGGTATGTTAAGTTATGTTCAACGCCTGAGGTGTTGCAGTCGCTTCTTGCTTTCTGTCATGGACGTCGGAGCTCTAGAGCCAGAGGAACAGATGAAAGTTCACGAGTTTGACAAACTCAATCGCCAGGTGCAGCAATTCCGCATATGAACCCATGTACGTATATACATACATACATACATACATACATACATACATACATACATACATACATACATACATACATACATACACACACACACGCACACCCACCTAGGAGCATGCACGCGCACACAAACGGGCGTCGGGCATACCAAATAAAACGCATACATAGAGATGTTCTTATACATTTACAAACCTATGTACATACATACATACATGCATACATACATACATACATGCATGTATGCATGCATACATGCACACATACATAGATACATATACACATGAAATATACATGCATGCATGCATGCATGCATGCATGCACACGCACATACGCATACACCAGTATGTCACAAATAAACGGATAGGCAGATAGATCGGTAGATAGATAGATAGATAGATAGATAGATAGATAGACAGATAGATAGATAAATGCATCGACAGATGATGGACTGATCGATGGAAAGACAGACTGCTTGAACACTTAGTCGCGATAGGCCTCACACACCAAGACCAGTTCGCCTCTCTTGCTCCCGCTGTCACTCCGTCTAGCTTGTTCGCGCTTAAAGTCCATCACTGCCAGACCATCGAGCCCAAGGACAAAAGGACAGTAATACCACCTCCGCCCATGCAGTAATGTCTTTGCACTCTTCCTGAAGCTAGCAATCATGTGATCCATTCCTCATCCCAAATCACCATCGTCCACGCTTCTTGGTTCCGGCCACATTTACTTGCGATCGAGATGCTGTTCACCACATCTGGGCGTGCTGCAAGCTTCACGAGCACATCCTCGCGCACGGAACTCTGGAATCTATCTAACGTGACATCTGCCAAGGCAGGTCGAACATGATGTCTGGCATATGGGTAGTTCTCTAAATTGGGGTCCCTTTTTAGGTCCCCAATATAATAAGGACCCTAAAAGGGACCCTAATTTAGAAAACTACCCATATGACTCTCAATACGACGCACTGTTATCGAGGGGGACTGCAGTGCAATGCACGACCGGGCAAGCCATCAACAAAACAGGCCTAGAAACCCAAAGAGGTCCTTACCCTTACAGTAGCCCTGATAACAGAACCCCATAGTATTCCTGAAGATAGAAGCCTTATAATCGGACCCTTATACTATTCCTTATACTAAAACCCCAATTCCTAAACCCCAAACCCTAAACCCTAAATCCTAAACCCCAACCCCGGCCCTAAACCCTTGTAGTCCCCCCAAAAAGGTCCTTGAGACCTGCCTTCTCTGCCTTCGCGGCGACGGCTGCAGCCAACTCAACAGAGGGCGCCTCTGCGGGGCTGTTGCAGGGGGTTCCTTTAAGGGTTAAGGGGTGTAGGGTTTAGGGTTCAGGGGTTTAGAGTTTAGGATTCAGGGGTTTAGGGTTCAGGGGTTTCGGCTCTCACACTCGGACAATCCAGGCGAGTTCAGGGGTTTAGGGTTTAAGGGTTTAGGGTTCAAAAGTTTAGGGTTTAGGGGGGGTTTCTAAGGGATTCCTCTGAGGGTCAAGGCTTTAAGGTCCAAGGCTTAGGGCTTAGAGTTCCTTGAAGTGTTCCTTTCAGGGTTACTCAAAGAGCTCTATACAGTTTCATGGGTTGCTGGCCATTGCTTTCGAGTTTTTGGGCTTTAGGGCTCTAGGGGTTTAAG